TTATTTTCCATAATGAAAGCACTAAAACACGATGCTCAAAATGTTATTGCTGAGATACGTTGACGACAGTTTCATTGTGCTAAAATTAGGTGTACATGATTAATTCTTGGAGAAACTGAACAGTGTATCTCTCAGCATTCAGGTTACCTTCGGAGCAGGTAGAATCACAATTCGGTGAACTACCATTTTTAGACTGCCCAGTTAAGAGGAGGGAGAGAAAACGGATATTTCAACATATATATGTCTATATTCAAGAAGAAAATTCACCCCAACAAATATTTATACTTCGAATCATCACACCGCATCAGTGCAAAGATATCACTTGTTTCAAGGCTTCTTAGACAGTCACAATGTTTGATGTCAGCTGATGAGAAGGAAAACGAAGAAGAAGAAATATCAAGAATTACTTAAATCCTGTTGAGAGAAAAATAACTACTTAAAGAACTTCATCAACAAAATCAATACCTACATTGAATGTGGTCGAAGTCTGATTCTGATTCTAATCTAATCTGATTCTGATTCGTTTGAATTTGTCGATTCAATAAGTGATGCTAATGTATCCGGGAGGAAAATGATATCCATGGATGTTACTTCGCTTTTTACCAACGTTCCCCTCGCTGAAACTATCTGCTTTATATGCAAATTCATTGAGATTATAATAATGTAGACGTATGTGTTTCGATCCACTACTTTAAGGAACTACTTTTGAGGTGCACTCTAAATGTCCAGTTCAAGTGCAACAACACGATTTCTAGACAAAGAGATGTAGTGGCAATGGGGTTACCATTGGGTCCTTTACTGGCAGACTGCTTCTTGGCTAGTTTGGAGAATAGTATTTTACGGCCTACTATCGACAGTTTCCATCTGTAGCAAAGATACATGGATGATACTTTCATCATATGTGACGACAATACCGACACCAAATTAATAACTAAGGAGTTCAGCAGCTGCCATCATGCCATCAAGTTCAGGTCGGAATCAGAGATTAACTCGGAATTCCATTTCTTGGATGTTTTTCTAAAGAGAAGATCTGATGGTTCTCTTCAAAGATCGATCTACAGGAGACCACAATGGAATGGTCAGTACAAAAATTTCATAGTTGGGTTCCCTTTGAGAAGAAAGAGAAATGTGATCCATTCCTTATTTTCAAGAATAAGGAGGACATGTTCAAGTGGTACAATCGGTGGGGAACTGGGGTGACTCAGACAATTTCTCATAGAGAATGGATTTCCTCCAAGATTTATCGAGAAAACCATGAAGTTAAAGCAAAAGCTTGAAAGAACCGAGACGGTGCCGAAGAAACTGATATTTATGAGCGTTGGATTCAAAGGTGATACCTCAGCTGAGATCTTGAAGAATCACTTTTGCAGATCACTGAAGAAAGCCTTTGTTACGGCTGAGCTACGGATCAATTTCTACAGCCGACAGATAATCAATGGATGCGTGAATGATAAACTGTCACTTCGGGCCACCTTAATGTGTGTTTATAAATTCACCTGCTCTTGTGGAGCTAGTTATATCGGTCAAAAATATATTCGGAATAGATTTTCTTCAAGTGTTGTCATTCCATATAGATCATCAGATGCCTTGGGCGATATTAGAAGAGAAGAGTACTCAAAAAGCACAATATCAGAGTTTCCTTCAAAACGTCACACTCACATACGCTCCAAAGAAAACTTGTCCATGTGAAAGACCAAATCCCTAGGTATTCTCAACCTGATTGTCTCTACAAAAAATACAATGCTTGCAATGTGATGTGATGCGGCATACATCGGAAAAACGTCAACAGAGAGAAAAGTCAAGGTAATGAAAAGAAATGAACACTGTGAGGTGAGTGTCTGTTCGATAACTGAGAAATCCACTTGAACTAGTAGAGCTGGGAAAGTGATCAACTATAGTTCGTCTACACACCGCGCTACAGAATCAGCTCACGAAATTAATTTCGACAATATTGAAATGATGTAGGATGATTTCAGAAATGATAAAGAACATCTAAGCCATCAAAATTAGTTCATATAAAGTAGAATCCGAAATGTCTAATGAATAGAAACGATGGATTGAAATAGGATTTGACCTATTTTCAACAACAAACTCGTCCTCATGAAATAACAAAATCAGCACGATTTATAAGCTTATCAAGTCTAACAATCTACACCTGGGCCGACTTGACAACTACGGAAAAATTGCCACATACTGATGAATGATGATTGAGTTGTTACGTGATATAAGCTGAGTGGATTAGACGGGATTTATATTTTCAGGGAGAGAAGAACATCAGCCTTTTTTTGACCTACCTGGTAAGTGGATATTTTCATCCTCTCTTTCATATTGAATTGAATTTTTTGATTTTCCCGTCGATTGATTGGACCGAAGTACTCGGTCTCAGGTTGACATGTTGGCTTCTTGTGCAGATGCTTCGACGATGTCTGGGGATTTGATTTGTATACAATTGGTGGATGGTGGCTAGCAGTGGAATCCAGGATGCGCATTTCGTCCTATTTGGGACTCGTCAGCTGGATGTACCTGCATTTCTCAGTGAGTGATGATGTTCCCACCGAGGCTCGAACCCAGTGCCCATAGTTTCAAACGCCAAAGCGTTATCCACTAGACCACTTGTATACTCTCTTTCATATGATTATATAAAGCCAAAATAACAATAATAAAAATCTACTTTATTCCAAAACAGACATTACTTATAATACAGAATGGAATTCTCAGCATTTGTCACAATATTCCATCTGATTTACTTAAAATATAAATAAAATTAACAAGAGGATTTTGTCCACATTTGAAGTATTAAGTTAACGACATTCGAAGCACGAATTGAGATTATTAAATATAATAATAATAACAGTGAGTTCGTTTCAAACAGTATTGTCGATTCAGTTTAGAAATTTTAGCATGTTATTATAGAGTATTGAATCTAATGTTCTGTTGATATGGTATAGTGAGGGGAAATACAAAATTAACAGTGGTAACACAGCTTAAATTGTGTTCACAATTATGCAAAAAATAAACAAAAGCAGATGATTGAGACGATTATAAATATAAGAAATAGTAATAATAATAATATATTCTCATTTTGTGCATGAGGGACGCCAGTTTACAGGCGTCATCAATATGATAAATTACATATACGATTAGCAATCATACTTAATAAGAATGTCTTAATAAAATACATATTTTTTCCTACCTGTGTAGGACACACCAAATGTACAGGCATGGATAAGCATTATTTAAATTACATAAATTTGGTTTATGGTCAAATTACATGGTTGCTGACGTTTTTGTCTTTGGTTTGTGGGAACAATATGATAACCAGTCATTCAATGGAGCACATCATGAAATATAGAAATATTGTCTTCGCACTAACAATAACAATAAAATCTGATGCTGTTAGGTTGGAGGAAATGGTTTATTAAGTCGTACAAAGAAGGTTAGTTAGTTCATGCCTAACACTATTTTCATCACATAAAGTACGTGCCACGAAATATGGTATAGCGGAATTTTTATACCTACACATGCGTGCATAAAGTCTTCTGAAAAGACTTCTTGTTTACCTGAGTAGACACAAGGTTGAAGCTGCGGGTTGAATGGGTACTCAGAGTCTGACAAAATTCCTTTAGCAAATTTGTTGCATGACATCAAGTGCGTATCAGTGACAATGTCAACGATCTATTTGGCCCAATGGGATACCACTCGTCCTACTGACAGTCTTCAGAGTTCTACGAAGTATGACATGGTCTTTTTTAAGCAATCCAGGAAAGAATAAGGGTGGACAGTAAAGAAGAATAGATAAGATGCACGAGTTGACAAACTGTGAGAGGAGTGGTTGGGTTATGCCTGAATGCCTCAACTTCTTAATGTAAAAAGTCAAACAAAATATTCTTTTAGAAATTGTTAAGACATGGGAAGACCAGGATAGGTCAGAAGGGAAAGAATTAATCCAAGATACTTAACTTCAGACTTGATTTCTATATCATCACTATCATCAATTTTGCAACGGTCATAGGAACCAACAGCTTCATTTAACTTTCTTTTACATCGGAAACTGAAATTAACAGTCTGACATTTGGAAGGATTTAGTTTAAGGCCGTTAGGCGAAGACCATTTGCTAACTCCTGATAGAAAGCTGTTCATCTTAGTACAGTCTAGCTGGGAGTTAACAGACAATGAAATAGTCAGATCATTGGCATACTTAACAAAGTTCATTTCGTCATCAGACTGAGGCAAGTCTGTACATAAACTTAATAATACTGTTTTGCGACTGTAAGCAAGCAGCTGATGAGAAGCAGACAAAAATAAACAAAATATGGTATCATCTTGTATTCTGCTAAAACCACCACTATTTTTATTGTTGTTCTTGCTTTATTAAAATTCATAAAGTGGGGAAGTAAATGTATAAAGTGGTTTTACTATTTTTCCTTAATAACCTCTTTATATATAGTGAATGTTCTTTCGTAGTTAGGCAAAATAGAATTATTTATCCAAAGAGACTTTCAACATCCAAGGTCAATCAAAAAACAACAATCAATTTTGTCATAGCATTATCCTCCTCCGTTTTATTTTTATTTATTTATTTATTTATGAACTTTGGAGAGAGAGGTTTCTAGACATGAAGTCTAATGGTGTACCATTGTCATTTTTGCTTTTGTTTCCCGTATTTCTTCCTACTCTGTGTGTAAGGGGGTTGGGTGGGTTAGAAATACAAAGACGGCTATACACTGAGAGGACATTGAGCCTACACGTTTGTTTATAAAACGAGGAATGGATAACTTAAGGGTATGGTTTTCAAAATTATCCACTATAAATTGAATATATATAGATAAACAATTCGTGGATGTGGGTTAATGTTTAATAAAATGTTCTGAACTGATACTTAAACAAGAATAACAGTTATTTAAAAGGATTGTTATACATATATGTGATGATGAAATATACATTTTACGTTTTATCTGCTCATATCTCACTGGAATCATTTTTATAAATCTATGCAAAATATGATTAAATCCTCTCCAATATCAATAATACATCTAACACTATGCATTACAGAATGTCAAAATCAACTGTTAAACACCTCGAGGTATGATCTAATGAATTCATCGGAGGGCAATATGTCTATGATTAATGGTATCCTTATGGGTGTTGGATTTTTTATTGGTATTGTAAGTCTTCTAACCTTGATAATTTGGTGTTTTAAGCCTAGACGTCTGGAGAATACTAAGACAGTGTTTGAAATTATACATCCTGAACAAGATGAAGCTAAAATATGGTCATCGAATTTCACTATGGAGGAAATTCAAAAAGGCGTAACACCAAACCAGCTGGAAAGTATTCATAACATAGAATATGCTACCAGTAGTAGTAGGAATAATTCTGCTGTAGACGCTGATGACCACTGTTCACTTGATAGAGAGGAACATAGTTCTCACGATAATTCGGTCGGCACCACTATTCAACATTAAGTGTAAGCCAGAATGAATTACATAGTATGAAAAGCGAATTTATTCTTGCACATACACAGAGTTCACAGGTGATATCATGAAATTTGTTTTATGAAGGCATCGAATGGGGCATGTCTTTGTGTGTCATCAGAACGCTTTGAATCGTATTCAGAACAATCCAGTTTTGTCATCACTTTCATGATCTTATAAACAGATAACATTCTGTTCTTTTGAGAACTGTCTTCGCTCATATTGTGAAAAATTTTTTTCATAAACTTTGTAAATACTTTTCAACTGGAGATTGAATATCAAAATAAATGTTTTTACGCAATTCTAGGGAGTCAGTTTCAAAAGTTTTATTTTTGATCTAAATGTCGAAACGTCTGAAACAAAAATTACGTTCTCATTTTTTCAGCTGTTCCAATGTTTCAGGGGAATACAGTACCATATAGAATTTAATCTGTTGAAAATCGGTGTCGGGCGTCGGTGGTTTAACGATAGAATGCTCGCCAACCACGCCTGACGTGGTCCGAGGATCGATCCCCCCCAGTGAACACTCACCTTTAACTCGCTAAGTCGGTAGTAAAATTGGTAAATTGGGAGTGGTTTGGAAGGGGTCTAGCAATCTACCTCACTATGTAAAAATGATTACCACTGCTACAGAAACTTCAAGACTCTCGCTTAAAGCCCTAGTTTCCACTGGGAACGTAAAGGAATAAGATAAGTAATGATGATAATAATAGAAACACGTCTGAAGCACATAACAAAATTGTAATGTAAATGTTCGCCCTGAAAATCAATGCACAATGGTTTATACTGCAGTGATGTGAGGTAAACGTCGACTGTTCCTTTATGTTTATCGATGGAAGGTGGAGTCCCGATGACGAGAGCTGTTAAAAGAGTAGAACTTGTGCACTGTGGTAAAATATAACTGCATTGTGGATAAAAATTCATTTTGATAAAGTCTTACAGGATTAAACAGTAATATTTACTGATGACCACGTTTTGAGCACAATTCATTACTCCTCATAATCATATCAAGCTAATCACTCAACTTTATTGCTTCCTTTATATGGTTGTACTATTACTCATGTCTTGATTTATTAGGTAGTAATATTTTCCATATTTCTGGGATGAGTTATGATTCTTTGCATCCTATTAGTAGCGCTGGGTGTAGATTCTATGAACAGAGATTCAGTAATCAGACTTTCTCCACCTACCTGTATTACCTTTTAGAATTTTATTCCTCTCCGATCCCCATATTGTGTGATTGTGTGGTGATGCATGCAGTGCAAATTACTGATCTTCTTGGGGCCAAGCATTCTAACCTTCGCTAAATTCTTTTGTTCTGACAGAAAACCCGACTACCACTGATCTACTAGTTTGACTGACCTATGTAGTTGACTTAGCTGAGGGTTATTGGAAGGTATTTAGGCGAATTATATTATTTTGTCTGATTGGGTCAACCAATAGGGTACTTTAGCCTAAAGAAGTTGTCCCTGCCTGAGTCAATTTGAAGAACTAAAAATGTCACCCTAATTCTACGTAGGAAGGGTTCCAGATATACCCTTCTTATAATGTAAAACTACTGTAGATGCCTTATATTCTTTCTTACTTATGCTATTGTGCTGAGAGCAGCCTGCTAGCCAATTGATTGACATTAATCTACGTCAATGTCTAGGTCACTAATATGGGCCATGAGAAAATATGAACAAGGCTGTTTCAACAACCAACCAATCACAGCAAACTTAAACGTGGGCAAATATGATTCGCAGATAGATGGCTCCTCCACTTTCCGAGGAACTCGAAAACAACCAATCAGAAGACTGCGTTTGTCTACTTGACTAGGCTATAATAATGTATGTGAAATTTATATAAATATGTGTTGATTTCCGTAATAAAACGATCTGTTGCCTGGCCCTTGTCTTCTGTTGTTAGACTACGATTATTATTTGCACTCTTGTTTTTATTTTGCTTTTGACCTTTTCTCATCTTTCCAATGACTTTTATAGGATAGTTAATTAACACCAACGCTTCTTCCTCTCTCTGTTTCATTTCATCATTTAGGTCTTTTGTTGTACTACTTAGTGGTACTGCTCGGTTTCTTAGACACTTAACTATAAGTTGCCTTCACAGAGAGATAATGGTTTTTCAACCACGCTAGTGTGCATCTTACCTTCTTCTATTCGTTTTATTTTACAATCTAACATCATAGCTAATTCTCCTTGTCCATTTTCCTATTCAAATGTGAATTTCATTCCCTTTACTAGTGAGTTTATGTGTATCAAGAAACTGGATGTATGTTCTGTTTTTAACACTGTGAGTGAAAGTGTCATCCACATATCTGTAGCATATTTTTAGAGTAGGATTAAGTAATTGTATTAAGAGCCATATTTTCCCATCTGTTCACTTAGATATCTGCTAAGATAGGGGATATTGGTGATCCCATCGCTACACTTTCTGATTGTTGATATATTTTGCCCTGGAAATGATATGATAATGAACAGTAATAAAGCTTGGTGGAAACGTGACTATGAAACTTTATCAAAATAAATTCTATCCATATTGGAATGAATACTATCAGCATAATGTTGGCTGAACAAAGCTTGGAATGTCAGTCACCTCTCTATCTCAACTTCATCGACTTTGAAAAGGCCTTCGATAGCGCAGAGTTGGTCGGGAGGTAATTTGGAAACTACTTCGCTACTGCGGGGTGTCGCCGACAATTATACATCTCATCCAACAGTTGTACGACAATGCCGCATGCCAAGTAATCCACAATAGGAAACTTACGGAATTCTTCGAAGTGAAAACGGGAGTAAGACATGCCCGGCTGTCTGCCTACTATCGCCAATGATTTTCCTGATTCCGGTAGACTGGACAATGAGACAGATACCGAGCAGTGAGACAACAGGCATAAAATGGACCTAAATAAAAAAATTGAAGGATCTGTACTTCACCGACGATATATGTCTGATTGCCCACAAACTGGAAGACGTGCAAGTGAAAAGCAACAAGTTCACAGAAGAAGCATCAAAGACTGGACTTCAAGTGAACACATAGAAAACAGAGGTAGGTAATGAAGATTCCTGATCAACAATAACAGCAACAACAGACAATAATCAGCCACCAAAAATGGTAGGAACCCGAAAGAAACAACCTCCTTCACCAACCTACCTACCTGGGAAGCAACGTTTCAACTACAGGCTGATGGAACTGTTGAGGATATCAAGGCCACAATCAGAAAAGCAAGACAAGCTTTCATTACTCTCAAGTCTGTGTGGAGGTCAACAGCACTCAACATCAAAAATAAGATCTGTATTTTCAACTCCAATGTAAAGTCAGTGCTACTCACTATACGGATCAGAGACTTGGTGCGTCATAAAGGGCACTTCAGACAAACTACAGACCTTCATCAACAGCTGCCTTCGCTCAATACTCAATATCAGATGGCCAAAAAGATGGGGAACAGGAATCTCTGGGAGGGAACCAACAAGGAAGCTGTTGTGAAACAAATAAGCAGGAGGAAATGGTGTTGGATTGGCCATACTCTGAGAAAATCATCACGTGAGTGACATCATTAGACCAACCATCGCTCGAGTGGAACCCGAAAGGGAAGCGGCGAGTTGGTCGTCAGTGCAAGGATGACTTGGAGGAGGTGATGTGAAGAGGAGATGAAAGCGTGTGGGCAGACTTGGAGCGGAGTGAAAACGTTGGCAGAAAACCGAACGCAATGGAGCCCTATGTTCCTCTAGGAATTAAAGAAAATAATAATAATAACGTTGGCTCTCCGTTGTGCTTTGATTTACTTCTTTTCGGATTTAGTTGATAGTATTAAGTTGTCATTAGGAATTTAAATGAAGTACAATGCAGACTGATTTGGACAAAAGCTGTCATGAGATTTTGTAAGGAAAAAAGTACAAAGAGAAATTTGTAAACATTCCAATGCAAATTACTGACCAGTTGCAATTAAGGTCGTAAAGTGAGACAGGGATATCGATTTAGATGTAGTTGTGTTCTCTAAGCTGGCTGGATAGTTTATTTGTGAAGATTTCATTGTTCTACTTGCTAGGCAACATCTTCTGCGCAAACTTCACTCGAATGAAATGAACTTTTAGATTTCTCTACGAATTTTCTAGTCAGCTCTCTTTCTGCAATTATAAATGTAATTGGTTGTACTTGTGTGCTTTCAAACCTTCTAGGTTACTTGTATTTCAACTGATTGTTTCTTTGGCTTGAACCTTGACCCTTTGTGTGTAAGGTTTCCTTCTTATCGGTTGTTAAATTTTGTCCATGTCAATGTGTCTATTGATTTACAATTCCCTGGAATACCAGGCTTCTAGGTATTTCTTCTGTCTAATATTTGAATGTTGTCCCAATCAAATTGATGTTCGTGGTTGTCAGTTTGCAGAGATATGAGGGTGTGTATGTCATGTTGTTTAAAGGCTAGTTTGTGTTCATTGATATGAAGAAGAAGAAGAGGGCTTTCGTTTTGGCCACTTAAGTGTTTTCGCGGTTGTTGCAATTTATTTGATGTTGGTTTTATCTTCATTTGATGTTGAAATCTTGTAGTGATTTTTGAGATGTCCTTTATATATGGTCGGACGATTTTCTTTGTGCATTGCCTGAGGGCCTTTTATATAGTAGGCTGGCTGGCTGGCTAGCTTGAGGGTATATGTCGTTTGATGAAGTTCCGTGGATATCCATTCTTTTCGAAGAAGTCCATGAGATATTTTTCTTCAATTTCCTTCAAGGTAGGTGTAAGATCAATTCTATTCCCATCCTTGAATCAAGTCAACTTGTCCCGGATCAGCCTAGAGTTGTTGCAACCCAACTATCCATGCCTAACGTGTCTATCCCTGCTTGTTTAATGAACTGTGTGTATGTGTTTTTACCTCGATTCGTTTAGTCAGACGGTTGAACTCATGGCCCAATCAGAGTATTTTGTGAACTGTTATTTTTGCTGACCCATGTCTAACTTTGTACTATTCTGTCGAGTTTATCTTATTTATTGATTTTCA